TCATTTATAATATTCTGCTCTTTGTTGACATTTGAGCAGACATGTCTGTGATCCAGTCAAAGAGGAGAACGATTTACTGACACTCTACTTTAATACTTGAAACAAAGACACTGCATTATGAAGACGCAACTAATGTTTACATCACCCAAACAGCCAATCACATTTCTGTCATCAGTGTAGGAACTCACACTCAAGCATACATCGTTTCCTCAGTGTTTGACTCCACTGAAGCAGCAGCTCAGGTCCAACTCAAGCCAGCTGCTGTTCAGCATCTCTGATTAAACTCTTCTTTAATTCAAACTCAGTGCAGATATTAATGTAGGTGCAACACTACCTGAGTCACCTAAAACACTAAAAGTCACTCCGGTTCTCCTTAATCGCCGCGACTACTCGTGATGTGGTTTAAAGTCCATGCACGTCAAAATAAAGTAGTTTACATTAGACATCGCTGAAAGGTTCGGATGGATTTTTTACATGGTTGGGAGGTATGTGAGAATGAAAGTAGTCACCATTGCTCAGCAGCCAGAGAACAGTTCGATATGGACACCAGAGTCAGTTTCAGTTCCCAGGGTTCCACTAGAACCTTCAGAGATCCTTCACAGCAGAAGAGAGTCCACCGGGTACCGTCGGAGCCTTTAGAAAGCCATCAAACAGGTTTTGAGCCTCTCACTGAGGGTTTGCAAATATGTGACTCCAACCATGTGACGCTTGTCTGCCATTTTGGATCATGGTGATACTGTAGAATCAGGTGACTAGTACTCAGGTCACACAGGCCTAGAGAGCGGCTGCAACCATCTGTTTGTGAGGGAAACAGCACTATTATACCACTGGTTGTAAGCTGTTGCTGGAGGCTGATGGCAGTTGTTGTGGTCTTTTACTTTAAAGGCAAACTTTCTGAACGTCCAGTGGGTGTTGCTGGGAGTTTGCAAGGATTTGAAGACAAATGTGAAAAACTACATTTCCCCATGGCAACCTGGTAGCAACCAAAGCAATCACTCAGTTTTCTGGTGCAAACCTTTTTTAGCATCTAATTTCACCCAGTGAGAGGCAGAAATCACCAGCAACCACTGCAAATCAGTCAGGAAATAGACATTTTTCCACAGCAACCAGTGGTTGTATCACGTCTAATATGGCAGACAGCTCTCGAGCACATGGCGTCACATGAGAAACTTCTGTACCTTTAGTAGAACCTTAAAGAACTCCGATATTCAGAGATAGGGGGAAAAGAACAAACAAAACTTGTTAGAAACCTGTTGAAATGTTCATCAATCTAAACTTTCAGACAAGTAACAAATTATAGAAACTGCTAAGTCACTAGATTTTATTCAAACCCTTAAAAAGCCACCCAGTATGATTGTAACCCCAACCCATTCAAGATGTTTTTTAAAATGTATTTTATTTTGTTTTATGTGCCCTGTCCCTGTTCATGATCGTGAAGAATGTGAACTGAACTACAGCGAATCCATTCAGGTCAATCCCTCGTATAACCTTTAGATGGTACCACCGGTATATGCAGCAACCTAGAATCCAACAGAAAAGTCCTGAAGAGGGTCTGGAGTGGCGCTGTTAGAAGCCCTTTACATGGCAGTAGGCTTCCAGGGAGGAGAAGACGATGTACATCAACCACAGGCTGAAGAACAAGCAAGTGGTGAGGATCTTTGGGACACGGGGTCCGCCTAGCTCCCCGCCAATCTCCGGTCGGCGGCGGTAGATGAGCACAGCGATGCAGATAAAGGCGAAGATGGTGAAGAGTGTGACAGAGAAGGCCAGTGTGCCAGGGCTGACCTTGAACTCCTGACCTTGGGTGTAGTGGTAGACAGCAGCGATTGACCAGGCCACACCAATACCTAGGAAGACATTGACGGCGTTGCTCCCCGTCACATTTCCAATGGAGGCATCGGCATATTGGTCCTGAATGGCTGCCACCTTACTGGCAAAGGTGTCTGATGATGAGAAAGTGGAGAGAAGATATGTTTGATAATAAAACAGATAGATAAAAAGGGCTTGATGCATGCTCAATCATCCAGTTAAAGAAATTCCCCAAAATCAATTCTGTTCATCTGGCTGTTTGGAAGATACATAAAGGG